CAGCAGGAAGAGTTAGCATGCATTTTTAATTCTCTTAGAAGGAATTCTCTTGTAAGCACTAGAACTTGGATTCTAAGACTAGTGATTTGAAATCTTGACAGAAATACTGGAAGCATGGAATCACACTGTAGATTTTAAAAAAACCCAGACACTTGTGGATTTCCTACATCAGCCTTTGGGTTTGGTTTTTTTTTTCTGTACTATTTAGTTCTTTAACTTACTGCATACCTTTTGGTAGGTTGTGGTGCTGCAGGTATTTGAACTGGTAGTGCAACCAAAACCAGTCCTTCCCTTGCTCATTAGTTGTGTATATATATGGCTGTGAAAAGACTGTTGACCCAAAATGTTGGGGCTTCATGTTGTTTTGTTCCAAATTCATGGTCGCAGTGAAGGATCAGCTAGTTTTTATTTATTTGTTTGTTTGAAAAAAAGAAAGATTGCTACAGTCAGATAAAAGCAGGCCATGTGTGTACACTTCTATGTAACTTCTGCCTTGCTTTTCCATGAGCATGCTGAATACATTTGAAAATGACCACAAAAAGACGAGGTAGACAGGAGTCCACATGAAAGGATAAGGGACTGGTTTTGTTGCAACAGTGCAGCTCTAAAGTCACATTAAAATATGTTGTTAGTAGCATTTATTAAGTCTAGGTACAAAATAAAGAGATATAATAGGTAAGTATACTTCTTGGCAGGTCTAATGTAATGTTTTCCAACTTCTCTTTTAAAGAAACTGAAGAAGTTTTTAAGGTGAAGAAATCAAGTTACAGCAAAAAGATTGTAAAACAATTGAAGAAAGAATACAAAGAAGATCTTGAAAAATCAAAAGTTAGAACAGAGGTCAATTCTCCAACAGATGGTAACTGCAAAAATAACAGTAACTTTTGTAATGGAAGAGATTAAGTGTTCTAAATACAAATTATTTGTTTTCAAGATGATTTGTTAGTCTTTTTAGAGCGTTTGGAATTTAGAACTGAAGTAAAGCATGCATTAAATGTGTTCATTTGAACCTAAGAAGTGCTGTTCTGAAGCTGGTAGAGAGTTTGTTGATTCTCTGTCATGTGGAGATGAATGTAGGATGAAACTTCTCAGCCACCTATACTGTTGTCAGTAGACCTCAGTAATTTCTATATTTCAGCTCTGTCAAATGAATTTCTTCCTATTGAATTAGGAAAGAATTAAATTAGAGCCATGTCTGGTGTTTATCTGACATGACAGGATGTGTCGTTGTAATGCATCTTCTCAAAAAGGAGGATTTTGGGGTGAGCAGAGTGGTGTTCTTTGTTATTGAGTAAATTATTCAGCAGCTACCTGTTTCAGGACTTGGACCTTAGAGTAGACTTGATGATTAAGATGACAGGATGAAAGTTTTGGAGCAGAAGGATCTCTTAACAACGTACAGTCCTCCAGAGCTTAGAATAGAGCCTGGGATTTTAATTTCATTGTACTTCTGCTATTGTTTTTTCGGAAGCTCATTGATAAAGCGTAATGATTCCTTTTCCACTTAGGTTTTTATGTAGAGTAATAACCTATAATGCTATAAGCAGTAGCTGAGAGGCTTATGATCTAAATATTGCAGTGGTATAGCTGAAGCATATAAGAGTTGAACGTGGTCCCAATACAGAAAATTGTCCTTTTTAAAGTTAATTCAATTAGTATTCTAAAAATCTTAAAGATTTTAAAAGACTTTGTCTGCGTTTAAAAAAAAAAAAAACAACCAGGAATTCTTTCTTACTAGAATCTTTAAGTTGCGTATGCAGTGGTATGGGGCTAATGCTCAGATGATCTGTGGAAACCTGGATCTTAATTCTTGCTTCTGTTATAAAGATCCTTTATAAATTGCATTTTGCACATGGCTGGTGTGTGCTTGTTTTCCGTTTGTTTTGGAGTCTCTATAGTTGGTTTGGTTATAGTGCAAAGATCTCAAGGCTGCTACTGAGTCAGTAGTCTGGATTCTCTAAACAAATGCTAAAGTCTGAAAACTCAGATATGTGCAGTTTGGGTCAGATAGCCAGATTTAACGTGCGTTTTTTTACATAATATTTGTACCTGCTGCCTGTATCTGTATGTTACCTGCCTGATGTAGGGTAATGTTGCCCAAGAGGAGAATGAAATGGTTTGAAATGAGTCTGTTCTTGTGGTATAAGGCAGGCAATGCTTTCTAATTCCGTGCATAAGAGGATGTGTGAAGGTTGCACATATAATCTTAATTATTGAGTTCCCTCACTTTTTTAATACTTGGCAATATGGAGAATGTTTAGTGATTGTTGGGGTGCCTGGTTTGTCAAATTTTATTTTGAGAGGATGTCAGTGACTTAATCACAATTAAGAAGGGATATTTTACTAGATCTCAAACAATAATATTACCACTTAACATTTTCATTTGAATTTTACTTTTGGTTGTTTGACCTTAAAAAATACTTCTGAGTGATCTTCGTAAAAAGAATAAAACGTAGGCTTTGTTGTCTTACCAGTCGAACGACCGCTAGAAAAGACAGGACATATTAAAGATATAGGTCAAGAAGATGGAACTGCAAACAGTGAGCATGGTGAAGAAGAAATGGAAGTTGAAAGTGAGAAGGAAGAAGAAAAACCAAAAGCCAGTGGGGCTTTTTCAAGTGCTCTGTCATCACTGAATGTTCTCCGCCCAGGTTGGTTACTGTAATACGTCTGATGTGTTAACACATGCTTTAGCTAGTGTTTACAGCAGACTAATGTATTTGAGAGATTAGGAAGTATTTTCCAGCAATGTATCCAGCATCTGAGAATTCAGGAAGCTGCTATTTTCCAAAACTGTTCAATTTTACAGGCCTTACGAGAGAAAATATTTTACTACAGAATGCTTCATCTTGATGTCAAAAGCAGGAATTTGTCTTTCAGCGATGGCAAACTGTAAGAAAGTCTAGATTTGGAGTAGGGGATTTAACATGAATTTTAACTGCTTTCAATTAAAATTCTGGCTTTAGTTTGAATGTCTCAGTTACAGGTTTGCAAGGTATCTCAAATGTTTTCCTATCTCATTTTGTCTAATGAGGTTCTAGGCAGCCCTGAGGCCAAAGAAATCAGTCTGAGAGAGTATTTTTGAAACTAGTTTACTAATTGTTAGCTAACTCGTGGTAGCCTGCTCCCCAAATAAAAGATGGATGTCCTGGGTGTACAGGCTTGGCCATAGTTCAAGGGAGAGAGAATTTCCTACTTGACTCCTTTTAGGGGTAATCGCAAAGTGGTGCGATATGTACATTATTGCATCTCTAAAGATATTGCTGGCTTGAATAGAGTATCTCCTGTCAAGTATAGAGAGAATCTGAAAGTTAACCTTTTGTGCATGCCTAATCAAAGTAAAAATTATTCACATTTCAAAAAATTGATTTTGGGGACCCATTCTTTATATGACTTACGTAAGTTGCATTGATTTTGTAGTCGGAATTTTAGATTTTTTTTTTTTTTAATTAGAGCTGCATTTCTTGTTTCCCCTCGATTGTACAGTCTTCACATACTAGCTTTGTCTGGTTTGATGTCCTCTTAACCTCTGAGCTGTCATCATCTGTTGAAACAGCTGGTGTTTTTTGTTCCCCCAAAATAAGAAGAGCTGGGAGCAATATCAGGACAGGAAGTGACACAGTCAAGAACCTCGTTTTCTTCCTACCTTTGCAATAGTCAGCTCATGTAAAGGGCTTCCTCTTTAGGAATATTTCCCATAGGAACATCAGGCTCCTGCTCTTAGGGCACGTGAGCTGCTGGAAGCAGAGCCAGACTTCTTGGGAAAGATCCCAGCTTTGAGGGTTTCTGGTCAGAAAGTTTGCATGTGCAGCTCGTAAGTTGTTTGCAAATGTTTCTGTGAGTATGGATGTTTTTTTTCCCTCTCATATTTTCTTCTGTTTGCAAACATGATTTGGTAGGGCAGCAGAGATGAATAATAGTAAGTTGTAGTACCTGTTTTGTTGCAGTGGTGGTTTAATGGTGCAAACATTTATCTTTAGGAGAAATTCCAGATGCTGCTTTTATTCATGCCGCTAGGAAAAAGCGTCAAATGGCTCGTGAACTTGGAGACTTTACCCCCGTTGACAGTGAACCAGGTAAAGGCCGCCTTGTTCGAGAAGATGAAAATGATGCCAGTGATGATGAAGATGATGACGAGAAGAGGAGGATAGTTTTTGCAGTGAAGGAAAAATCCCAAAGGCAAAAGATTGCTGAGGAAATAGGTAAAACCTTTTTAGCAGGACAGCTGATAAACATTCACACTGTTTTCACTGCAAGTGCTCCCATTCAACTTTTTTGAACAATGTATTTTTCAAACAGGCCTGAATCTGGAGCCGTGTTCCATTTGTAAGGAAAAGTACTACATAATGGAATCTATGTATAAAATTTTGAGCCCAAACTATGTTCCTGTGCTTAGAAACACACAACTCTACTGAATCTGGTAGAAACTTGTGCTAAGGATCAATTAGTATTGTTCCTGTACTTTGTTTTTTAAGTAGTATATAGTTGTGAAAAGAAAAACATTTGTTCTTTGGTATAGCATTCTTCTTGCTGACAAGCAGGTAAAATAACCTTTTGGAAAAGAAGAATTTGTAAGATATATAGAATTTTAACATGAGAGGGCTTTACCAGCAGTTAATTGCAAATTTACCCATTGGATTTTTTAAGTGGAACCTCTGTCATAATAATTCACAGGCTAGTGTCCTTAATTCCTCGTGAAGAGGAAAAGAGGATGCATTGAGATGTTTCCACCACAGCATGGTCTCTCAGGTTTTTGAACTCATGGCCCTTACTATGAATAAATTATCTTCTTTTTGTTACCTGTTTCACTTGTATTTAGGTATTGAAGGAAGCGACGATGAAGCACTGGTGGCAGGGGAGCAAGATGAAGAACTCAGTAGATGGGAGCAAGAACAGATAAGGAAAGGAATCAACATACCTCAGGCATGTATTTTGTTGTGAACTCTTTTTTTGTTTGTTTCTGTGTATGTTGGTTAAATCCATTACAAACAAATAGTTTACAGAAGGCTGTTTTATCTGAGAAGTTCAGCGTGTAACTTCCGATATTCTTTAAAGAGAAAAGAGAGGTAAGATTTTAAGTATCCAATGATATCTGTTTCGTTAGTTTCTCTGTTCTGAGTAGATACTGATTGATTGTGGTGCTGTTCACCAGCATTTCTTTGCAGCCTAAAACACAGCTAGAATAATGCCACTTTGAAGAGACCTCTGTTCTTGTTTATCACGGCATTTGTAGAGTCTGTGTAAATGGTGTGTGTTTCTTTGCTGTTTTTGTATCTTGTGTCGCAGCACAGAGTTGGAATTTGTAGCAGGTTGTACCATATGTTGTCTGTGCATTCATAGTGAAGTTGCCACTCAGTTGAAGAGGATAGTTTAAAAAAAAAAAAAAATTCAGCAAAATCACAACCAAACATGCTGACTCTGAGAACCTATGTCATTCTATTAAATAGAATAGCAAAATTTATTCCATTAAATAGAATAGCAAAATTTAGTATAGTTCCAAACACTTGGTAATTGTAGGAGTTACAGGTTGGTTAACATTTTCATTTAACAACTTGTTATAAATACTTAGAATGATAATGATACCAAGAGTTTGTCCATTTAAGAAGGGGCTTCTGCGGGAATTTTTCTTCTTTCTTAAGTGTTGGAAGTTCTCCAAGTAAATCCACTTGATAATTACATGTAGCTGCCTCCATTTTTCCACTTTATAACATTTGATATGTGGAAAAAAACCCAAAAGTTTCTCCTTTCTTTAAAGTCTAATATGGTACAACTGCATTTCTTCTTCCATTAGGTTCAACCAAGTCAGCCTGCTGAAGTGAATAATCTGTACTACCAGAACACTTACCAGACACTGTCTTATGGTTCATCATATGGCATTCCATACACTTACGCTGCGTATGGATCATCGGAAACCAAGTCTCAAAAAACAGATAATACAGTTCCTTTCAAAACTCCCAGTAATGAGATGACTCCTGTTACTATTGATTTGGTAAAGAAACAGCTTAAAGACAGGTAGGACAGACCATCTTTTTAGACTTAAAGACCTGTTCCCTAGCTTTCTGTTCCTCAGGCGTCTTTTAGTCTTGGTGAGCAAACACAGAGTTTCATCGCTGGAAAAGTACTGACTGGCACATCCATTAAAAAAAAAAAAAGGGAAACAAAAAAAGCTCAAAGTGAAGATGACATTGACACTGTGTTTGAAAATCTCCTTGGATTGCTTCTCTGGAAGTGAAGCTTTAAATATGAGGCCATTGATCTTGTTGAAGAGAGGTCCGAGTTGCATCTTCTGGACACTGCACAGTCTTATAGTCAAGAATTGAAAGGCCAGTGAGGTGTTTAGCTTGTCACGTTGCATTCTTTTAAACTGAGAATCAGATTTTCCCCCCCATAGTAGATAAAGAATTAAAATTTTAGTGTATACAGGGTTTTTTTTGGTTTAAACACTATAATTGCTTATCAGGTACACAAAAAGTCCTACTGAATGACCAATCCAGTTGCAGTAAGAAATCATTTGTAATGAACAACTTGCACTTTAGATGTCTTCAAAGTTGGTTTGTGTGCCCCTTGTAGTGTTACAGCCTTTGACAGTGAATCAAGTTAGTAGAGGAATAAGACAGCTTTGTATAAGCTATAGGTCTTCCCTGCCTCACCATGAAACCTTTCCTCCCAGTTTTACTGTAGGGCCAGCACTATTCTGAGCGCTATCGACTTCTGTAAAAATTTGTGGGAGTGGGCAGTGCAGTGCACTCGGCAGAGTCTAGCAAATTTACATAGAGAGGGGAGAAAGTGACGAATGAAAGTTAGAGAATATGTCTTTGAGTATTTCCCATATATAGACTTGGTACTTGCGCTGTCTGTTTAATATCTCAACGGTCTGAAATATACAGACTTGTGGATGTAAATTTGCTATTTATCCGTTGCCCTTCAGGTTGGACTCTATGAAAGAATTGCACAAAGCTAATCGGCAGCAATATGAGAAGCATCAGCAAAGCCGAGAGGACTCTACCAAGGCAATTGAAAGATTAGAAGGGTCTTCTGGGGGTATTGGTGAACAGTATAAGTTTTTGCAAGAAATGCGAGGGTATGTCCAAGACTTGCTTGAGTGTTTCAGTGAAAAGGTAAGGACGCCAAAACATTCATCTTTTTTCAAAAAAAAAAAAAAAAAAAAAATAGGGACTCTTAGTACATGTCAAACACCGCATCTCCCTGTTTTCGAAAAAAGTCCCCTGAGAACATATTCTTCTAAAGGTTTGGTTATTTGAGGGTTGAAAAGATAACTTTTCATCATACTAAGTTGGTTATCAGGAACCTATCTTTCACAGTGTAAGATATCACTGACTTTAGATTGCCTAAACCCACTTTTAGCTTATATGTCTTTAGGATTTTGGTAGATATTCTGGCATTTCAGCTGTACTCAGATGCTGCTTTTTACTTGTGTTGGTATCAGGTTAACAAAAATAAGGGCTGAATTACAACATTGCTAGTTTCTGGAATGCTTTATGGACACAGTAACAAAGATTTGTATTTTGTGTGTTGTTATAAACTTCTTCCTGCCAGGCAGTTTCACGTACTTGGTTTAAAACTTGCTCTAGTGTCTGAAGGAGAAAAGTCTTAAAACTAGTATAGCTGTCTGAAGATAACCAAACTTAAAAATATACTTCTTTTCTGTAGTGTGATACTTTTGTATATGTCTAACTTGAAAACTTAATTTTTTTTCTTATGTTATTCATTATGTTTTAATTAATTACTTTGTTGTAACTATAACAGGAGCTCCAGAATATATATATATTTATAAACATATATTTCACACAAAGAAGAGCTGTAAAATTCAGTTAGCAGTACATAGGCTATTTCTTCATTGCCTTCTGACTTGAATACAATAGTATAGTATCTTCTTAGTAAGTTAGCTGTCAGAATTACTTGAGTCGTTGAAGCTACTGCTTACCTAGCTTGTTAGGTGTGGGAGAGGAATATAGAAGCGTTCTGGCTGCTAATTGGTTAGGCATTAATTACCCAGCATTAGTGATAGTGGGAGAGTCCCATCTTCAGTCCTGTCAGTTGAAGAACAGCTATGTCATGAACAAACCCAGGAAGTGTGGACCAGTTAATTCACCCAGCTAAATTGATTAGTTACAATAGATACTGTTGACTGGAGGAGCAGTATTCCTGAGTCTGTATTGGCATTAGCTGGTGAGGGGTAGTAAAGGTACTTTCCTTCGCAGCTCTGTCAGTGCTGGTTGCCCAGGTGCCTAAATTTCTACTTAAAGATTACTTTTTATATTCTCTGAGATCAATTTGTATTTCAGAAGACAAGTTAAATACCTATATCTCTATTCAGTATTTGCTTTCTAAAGACCTCTTGTTAAATTTCTTTTGTGGTAACTATAAGCCATGTCTGGAGGTTCTCTTTGATAGCCCCTGCTGTCTTGTTCAAATATTGTCTTGAAACAAAATGTTTTAGAGTGCACTGTTCCGAGTATAAACCAAGCCTCTCAGTCTCCCAGATTCTGTATAAACCAGGAAAGCTTACTGTTAAATAATAGTGTAACAATTTCAGTTCAGTTTGTAGGAAGGTTATTGACCTGTCTAGCTATACTAGTAAATAAAATCAATTCCAGCTGTTAATGCAGCAAATTAGCTGCTGATAATTTAACCAACAGGCTCGTTAAAGTTGCTTTCTTACAATATACCTTTGCTTTCCTGGCAGTTGGTCTTTTAAGGATCCTACACCTGGACACCTTCCTCCACCTTCCCACCCTCCCCATAGCCCACCTGCCATGCCAGTCCATTGAACTTTTCAGATGTGAATTTTATCATCTTATGCTTCGTAGGGGCATTCACAGAGTTTTGCTGTTTTCAGTTGAGGCTGCTGCAGTACCTGGATGTGCAATGAGTTGCAAAATTAGGAGGGGACGTGGTCAGTTTAACGGAAGTTTTTCATTTATTATGATCTCCTATATATTCCTCAGTTCTTTGCCCAGATAATCTGTTTTGGAATTCATTACTTTCAGCATGACAAAAGTACTATCCAGTTCAAAACCTGTGGCCCACAGGACGCTGCAGGGTTTTCTAAAAAGTGGATGGGGGAAGGGCACAAAATAAAGTAATAAAATCAGTATCAGTTTTTGTTTAAATGAAATTATGAAATGCATCAGGACAGTAAATTCTTCTTATCTTTTGCGTGTAGAGATAAATTACTTTCAGCTTTTTTGTAGAAGCTGTGGCCCTGACTTCTTCATATTTAAAGTGTGTGTTTATAATATGTATTGTATGTACTTGTTATGATTATACATAAGCATATAAAATATGTATCCATAAATGTAGTAACGATAATCTGTGTGTGTATGTGTGTGCGCGTGTGTATATATATATACACACACACACACTTACACACACGAACACATATCCTAAATATGTGTAAAGCTAGGTCCCTCCTTATCCTTTCAAATATGAGGCTTTGATGTTTTGTCTTTATTTTATTAGGACTAGTCATGGTTATTAGTCAAATTCACATTGGTACTGATCTGAATGAGAAAGTGGTTTGCTGAAGAAGCACTAATGCGTTCACAATATACTTGTCCACTCCGAAAGAAGTGCATTCCCCTACAGTTTTCTTGTATGTCTATTGACTTAGTTTTGGAGAACAACAAATATTATCATAAATTAGGCTTTCTTCTCCTACCATCTTATTTCTGCACCTCTTCACCACGTTCAACCCTTCGTGACCCCCAATCAAGCAAAACCATTTTGTTTGTATTCTGTTTTGAAGAGATTCTGAATGTTAGAGACACTTTGCTCATTGGTAAGGTGCAGTGGAGAGTACAATGAGGCAGCTATTATGCAAATTTTAGAAAACAAGCAATAGAAATGTCAAATCCTCTATGATTTCTTTTTTCCCCCCCCATAAATTATAAAACCAGTGGAGCGAAAGACGCTGGCATGACGTCCTTCACAAGTAATCACTGTCAAAATTATGCTTTCTGAGAAGGCTAGAAAGTGGTAACGATGTCTTTACATTTTGAATGTAGGAATACGCAAAGGATACAGAAAGATTAAATTGTTCCGAGTGTATCTTTGACAGCGCAGTTAGATGAACTGTTATTTTACCTGCAAAAGCAATTTATCAAAACACGATCTGTGTGTGTCAGAGAGGGGCACTGTAGGTTAAAATTATCCTTGTCATCTAAATGTTAAGAGAGCTTTCCACTTTTCCTCTTGCGCTGTTTACAGTGAAAGTGAAGGAGAAAAAACCCGAAACAAAACACTGACTTTAAGGTATTGACTAAGCAGAACACAATGAATGAGGGCTGTAACTTTGTAGTAGTCAGTGAAATTCAGTCACTCATCAATCACAGTATTGACTGTAGAAGAATAACGGCTTCTAAATCTCTCGTATTTCAAATGGGAAATATTTTGAGTGGATTCGTATATCTGAATACATAGCTGGAGGTTTTTTAATCCTGGCGCAATTATAGAAAGAACCTCTAGGGATGCTTTGAAAAATTTTCATTTAACTTTTCACTTTTAGAATTCCCTTTACACACTTAAGAAGCTATATTTTCTATGGTAAACTGCAGTAAAACTAGTATTTTTTTTTAATTATTATTTCTGTTTTCAAAATTGTCTTGAATTCCAAATACTCACCTCCAGCACTGGGATATTCCCCCCTCCTATTTCTCTCTACTCTGTTTTCTTCAAAAGAAAGTTGTATGTATTTTGAGTTGGTGCAGAGTTGCTTTCATTTTAATCCCTGTAGCTCAGTTTATACCACAAAGAGCTAATACTTCTTTCCTTCTAGTATCTCCTCTGATGTGTGTGTCATTCTCAGATAGCTGAAATGGCCGTGTAGCTATAATCTCATCATCTTATATTTTACTGGAGGAGATTCTTTAATAGGTGCTGAGTCACATCCTAAATTACATCAGGAAACAATTTCTGATTTTTATCTTTTGTTGTGAAAAAAACTTAATCCTGGATGGTAGGCAGCAATGAAATATTTGAGCTAAAAGGCTGGAAGACCATGGACTAAACATATGTCTCAGAGGTAAGGAGGATATGACTTAAGTGTTCATACCAAAAGGACTTGCCTTTCCAAATTAAGAGATTGTGAAAAGTTCTGGTTTGCATTTGAATATTTATAATAATCTAATTTTAACTTGTCCCTGGAAATGAATTTTTGCAAAAGTGAGCAGTTAATCTGCTATTTAATGTCAGGAAATTCCTAGTTGTTAGAAATCTGTCATCTATTTTTGTTATAGTTGCTACTGAAATTTAGCCTACTTACAAAAAACAACAACAAAAAAAACCACCAACGCACAAAGTGGCAGGTCTGATCTGACTTAAGTCTGTATTGTTCAAAGGTTATACTTAATGCATAACTCACACATGGTACAATTTTAATTTTAATGATAGGCTAGAGTAACATTTTACTGATTTGAATTACCTGTTGCATAGCATGCTTATGCAGTGTTTTATTGCATTTCAGTAATAATATTTCAGCATATGCTAATAAAAGTTACAGCAAAACAATACCTGCTGGCTTCAGAAGGTTAGATTCGTGCTTTGTTTTTTCACTGTATACAGTCAGGTTATTTTCTCATTGAAGTATAGAATACTACTACATTATTGTTTAAAGATAGAGAGGAAGCAATGAGGTCTGAGAATTGTAAGCACTGTAACACAATATGTAATGCACTTGGTAGAGAAAGTGAGTACTTGAAATAGCATTTCACACTCTCTAAAATGTTTGTCTTACTGTGTAGACTCATTTAATCAACAGAAGTTACTTTCAGAATGCTATTGCTACGGTTGAAAGCTGTCAGTGTGGTTAAATGCATGCATTTTCTTCATGTTGAAATATTTACTGGTCCAAATGATACAAATGGGTAAAAGGAAACAGTTTGTGCTGCTAGAAGTACAGTGACAGCATTATGCTTCGGAATAGTATGGTACCCCAGAAACTAAGCACCTGAAGAATTTGATATTACGTAGTGTGTTGTATTTTTACAGGTGCCTCTGATTAACGAACTTGAATCTGCAATGCACCAGCTGTACAAACAGCGAGCTTCCCGCCTTGTCCAAAGACGACAAGATGATATTAAAGATGAATCTTCGGAGTTTTCAAGCCATTCAAGTCAGTCCATCTTGAAGGTTTTTATTATTCATTAAACAACCTTGTTTACTTAGTATGGCTTAATTTATATGTAAATGTTTAAAGTATGACTGTCTTAAAGTTTATCCTTACTCTTGAGACAGGTAGAAGCAAGTTTAGATAAAAGTTCTCTAATCTGTTTTTGATTTAAACTCAAAGCCACTCCAACTCTGACTTCATCACTCCTTTCTGTTGCTCTTAACTATATTTTCTCTTTCCTAGCCCTGAAAATGTGTGTGTGATGGTAGTGGTAGCATGTGACTCCCGATTTTCTTCTTATGTCAGGACTTTTTTTTTCTTTTTTTTTTAACCTCCTTGAATCTATAAATTTCCTGTAACATCTACAGTTAACTCTGTACAAAGCCATGAAGCACTGGACTAGAGTTGACTTCTGTCTAATACTCTGTTTTGTAGGCAGCATAAGTGTTTCATTTCGGACACTTAACTGGTAGAGTTAAAGAACTGGAAGAGACTGGTGTCATTGTTAAAAATCAGACTTATACAAAGTGACCCTATATGAAATACAGCTTAAAATTAGCCAGTTAAAATACCTGCTTACTGTGAGTGTGTGGATGGGGATTCTCATTGAGGAGTTTTCTTGTGGCAATTACTCTTCAGTATGTGTGTTAACTTGGATGGAAATACGCGTTCCTTGGAGGAGGTTTTATGCAGCATGTTAAACGATGGGTAAAAGGTTATATTAATAGTAGTCGCCTTTCAGCTTTGGAGAGGTTCCTATTTTTTAAAATGGCTTTCTTGTCTGTCCTATTGCTGACCTAAAATCGTATAATAACAGTCATTTCCTATTCTGTCGCAGTGTGTCCAGAGATGAAATTTTATTAATACTGTTAGGTAGAACTTACTGAGGGTGATAAAGTGTTAGGGCATCAGAGTTGGTCATCCCTTTATGGAGTGGTTAGCATACGTATTCTCTTTAGGACTTTATTTGGAGCCGCAGGCACCACAGGTAGGCCATGAAGTTTTACCATGAAAATGCTGTTGTGAGAACTAGAAACCTAATGTGCTAGAAACATATTTCCTAAAAGAAGCTCAGAGTGGATTATTTTAGACTGGAATTTAATGGTGATGTGGGAGTAGTTGTCATTGTCAAGTCTGGGTTTGAGAGAGAGATCTTATTTAGTATCTGGGAGTCTTGAGAATGAATTTCACTGTGTTTAGAAATGGTTCAGTTCTGTCCCTCAGATTATCACAGAAACTAGGAATTCATGCCAGCCTTTGCTTTGATGTGTTTTGCGGACACAGACAATCTGCTTTTCTTCATGTGGTGTCAGAACACTAAAGGGCTAGAAGTGAATTGAAGTTTGTCTGCCAGCTTTGGTTTACTTCTGCGTAAAGACAAGTAGCTCACCTTCAAATAACATTTTAAAAAATTGGACAAATGATGGCTTCATCTGTATGTTAAGGCTCTTGGGTAGTTCTGGTATAGAATTGGAATACTGACATAGATCATTAGCAGTAATGTTTTTAATGATGGATTTGTCAATAGATTTAGTTAGAACATGTAAATTTACTCTTGAAATTTGGGTAGGGTTTTGTTTAAATTTTGATTTTTATATTTTAGTGGGTGAACTTGAGCACTGGCTAACCTTCGATCCACTTTTAAAAATTTACCTGAAAAGGATGAACTGGAAATACTCTTGGGTCTGCCTTCTGGTTGCTGGTCAGCTGCACTGGTTAGCTGTGTTGGTTTCTATAATCAGGAACACCTGTAATGAATCACAGCTTAAAAAGAGGAGGAAAGATGAGTTATTTTCCTGTAGATGTTGATGTGTTTTAAACTTCAGACTATCTAAAGCCTATAAACTTCGAAAACACTACGACTAGAACTTTGAAATATCATATATTCCTGCTCGGGTCACTCTTCTCTGCCTTTCTTTTTGTTCATTTTATTTTCAAAAGATACATGGTGAACGTGTTTATGTAAGGAGCATTTTTTGTCTTGGAAGATTCAATTTAAGCAATTTCTATTAAAACTGTTGACTTTTGTATAGTTGGGCACTGTTGTGAGAGGGACAAGAGTGAAGTATGGTGAAAACTATTTGACATTTAAGTGGAGATTTTTCCAAACTCCACTACTTCCTCTTTTAACCTCTACACTGTGAATTCAGCCTTCTGGGTGCACCTTTTTGAACATGTCAACTTTCTACTTCAAATTACACTTAGTTTAAAGTAGGTAAAAGGCTCTGATGAAACTGCCTACAGCACATTTATATAATCATAGATAAGCATTTTAATTTTCACCAATGTAATTTTACAGATAAAGCACTGATGGCACCAAATCTTGAATCTTTTGGACGAGACAGAGTGATCTATCAAGAACAAGTAAAGCGTCGGACTGCAGAAAGAGAGGCTAGAAGGTAAAGTACTGAGATTTCTTGTCCGATAGGAGTCTTCGCTTGCAGAATATGGTTGTCCTGTGTGATGTACTAATGCAACTAGTCATTTTGTTTTGCTAGTTACGCTAGCAACGTTTGCTCCTTTCCTTCAAAGGGAAGAAAACACTTAAGCTGGTCTGCTGGGCAGGGGTATTCTTGTGTATCCCAACTTATCGTACAAGCATACAAAACAAGGCACCATTACATGATACTGATTTAAAATCACTAAAAGAAAGTATAGTAAACGCCTTCTGTATCTATATGGTCTCTGCTGTTTTCTCTTCCTTCCATCGTTTGATGCAGCAACATAGTAGAATGCTTGGAGGTGGTGAGATAATGAAAGGGGTTTTTTCAACCTGGATTTCCTTGCATTAAAAGTTATGACAAACTTAGGCAGTTCATTGCATAGGGGGGGGGAAAATAATAGCTTGTTTATGCTGCTGATCCTTTTTAGAGCTCGTCGTAGACAAGCGAGAGAGCAAACTGGGAAGATGGCAGATCACCTTGAAGGCCTTTCCAGCGATGATGAGGAAACTTCAACGGATATTACAAACTTCAACATGGAGCGAGGTTAGAAAAGCTACTGAAACTTCACGTAACAAAATATAGAAAATTTCACAGAGAAAAAATAAAATTGATCCAAATGCAGTCCTGTCCGTATATTTCATTGTATTTTGGAGAAAGTTAAGGCACTGTTCCTTGCTGGATTATCAATGTGACCAAAACTGTCTCTTTCACCAACCTGTTGTGCAGCTTGCAGCTAACTAAATACCCTGTCCTTAGTGAGATTCTATTTATTTAATTCAAGCATTCTTTTGCTGGCAAGCAGTAAGCTTTTTTATCTTTAGTGGATACTAAGTCTTCCTTCTAATTTGTAACGTGGTTTATCATTCTTCAAATATGTGTTTTACTTGTGAATTTCTGAAAACCTCAGTGCTTTAGAAACCTTTTTTTGGCTTGATAGGAAGTATTTTCTGGAGTTTTGCATAAGCATCTAGAAATGCAATGACAAAAGTTTTGTAGACTCTTGTTACAGCCTGGCAGGCTTTGCAGATGACAGAAAACAAATGTTGAATGCAAACATTGCAGAAAGATCTTGTGGTACTGACTTGATTTGAAATTCATCTGTAGTTTTATGATGGTTCGTTCAAAGTAACTATTATGCAATTATGCATAACCTTAATTATGCAATAAATGGGGTTGTAAGTTAAGCTAATGCTTCTAAAGCACTGGGAGAACTGCAAGAAACCTGAGATGTGGAGATGTATGGATAGCTTGGTGGAACAGTCATCTTTTACAGCAGCAGTTAAAAGGCAAAGAATTCCAGCAGTTACTGTGAAACCAGTAGTGAAGAAAGTAGAACATCACTGTAGTAATCCTGTTACCTTCTCATTTTGAACCTGAGTACAATTATCATTGTCTCTGATTAGAGAGAATTTAATCAGATTAGAAGAAATACGGAGAAGGGGGGCAGCAAAGATCACATACATAGAATGGTTATGTTGTATGTGAGGAGGGATTAAACAGAGATTTGGACTCTTCAGCCAGGAGAACGATGTTGACTTTTCACAGTATGAGAGCTAGGGGGCATGAAATGAAGTGATGGGATAGATTTAAACAAGTCACTTCCCACAGAGAGTCTAATAAAAATGCCAAAGTCATTACTGTAGGTGGTTGTGGAGACCCAAAGTATGAACAGATTAAAAAAGCAATTAGATAAACTGTCTAGCAGTTGGATCCTTCAGAAGTGCAAACAGTTTTCATGCCTTTAGTTGCTGGCTGATTTACCAAAATTGTGGATGCAGCGAGAGCTCTTTGATAAACAAAGCAACTGTTTAGCGTTGTTAGGTGCTATAATTAACTTTGCTAAGTTAAATGATGTAGATTAAAAAATAAGTGTGGCTGTGTGCTCTTTGTAACCTGACAGTTTTATGCGTACAAAAGCCTTTTGTAGGAGTTTCATCAGTTTCTGAGTAAGCATAATATTTCTAAAGCTATTTTTTATCATTTGTAGCTCTCATGGTAGTCCAGAATATAGCAGTGAGCTGTAGGGAACAGAGGGATGCACTTTATACCTACTAACCTTATTTATAGCATCTCTTCTTGATCCCAATGGGAAAATGTGTTTATATGATAAAATCTCATGTTCCCTCAACCCTGTCTCTACCTGTTGAGTCTACTAGTTATATTAGTTGTGTGCAGGTTACTACTGTAACTGAACATTTAAAACTGTGGCTGCAGCAAAAATGACTGATTAAAATGAAACTAACCCTGGGAAGTAGAAAAGATGAAGGGAAAATAATATATAGAGAAAAAGTTTTGGACTGCATAGAATACTGGTACCGTAAATACAAAAAAATGTAAGGAAGGTGCTAAGGGATTGTAATGGTTGCCCAGTGCTCACAGCCATGTTACATTCAGCAGCTTAGCACGGTGCCTGCCAGGATCCGCTCTGTCTGAAGCACCAATTCAGTTGACTGATCTGAGATCCCCTCCTCTACTTGCACTTGGATGAGCAAAGTTGTAGGATAATTTGGGTTGAAAGGGACCTGGCGATCAGCTGTTCCAAACTCTTAGGCAGAGCAAGGCCAGCTTTGAAGTTAGATCCACAGTGGATACAGCCCAGTACATTACCAGTCCAATGTCTGGTAACTGAAAATCATTATGTGAAATGTTTAAAGCAAGACCTGTGATAAAACAGTATATGGGAGAGTACTTGTGCTCATGTTTTTGTTGCTTCGTATATTTGAGGCAAAAGTAACAGAACTTTTAAAGGTGATGGTTTTTTGGTTTTGCTTATAGGAGTTAGCTTATGCCAGTGAGCATCAGAGTCCATCTTGAAAGAAAAATTACAGGGAATAGGTGATTAACTTATTACTCGTTTTGTCCCCCACCAGATCGTATATTGAAAGAATCCGGCAAAGTTTTTGAAGATGTTTTGGAAAGCTTTTACTCAATTGATTGTATTAAGTCACAGTTTGAAGCTTGGCGCTCAAAGTACTTTGCTTCTTATAAGGATGCTTATATTGGCCTCTGTTTACCAAAGCTGTTTAACCCTTTAATCAGACTTCAGCTGCTTATCTGGACTCCTTTGGAGGTAAGATCCTCTGCAAACAACTTCTATGTGAGCTTCTATATAGTGGTTCTTTCACACTTCTGCAGAGCAAAGCAAATGCACTTCTAGGCATGGAGTTGAAAACGGGTGTCTCTCTTGGGGTGAAGCTTTTCTGGAGAGTTTCTGGACTGTTGTCCTCTTTTTTTCCTAGCGGGCCAGAGTTCAATTCAGCACATGCCTGTATTTTCTCAGTGAGTGGCGTAGATCAAAAAGCCAAACTGCTTCTTAAATAATACATTTAAGTTTTAAAATACTTAAGAGAAAATTGTGATTCTGGAGATGATGTTTCTTCAGAAGTGGAGCTAAGAAGCCCGTTTTTATGTTGACTTACAACCTGCATCTCTACATTACACATCTTTCTTTCTCTGACCTTCATATCCTGTAGAACTCTGGCTGGTAATTTCCAAGTCTTCCTCATAGTACTCATTGCCCAGTTATTAGGTAGGGAACATGAGAAAAGCAGAACAGCATTGTTGCAGCCCAGTATCCCTGGCACATGTTCATTGTCCAGCCTGCATAGGTGTGCTGATACGAGTAGGCATCAGGACAAACAGTTCAAGTAGCTTTTGACTCCCACTCTATTCTTCCTACCAGTGAAAGCTCTGGTAGGGTATTTCTGCTGCAGTCAGGTGCTTATTTTCACAGTACTGGTAGGAACTTCCTATTTTCTGCCATGTTGGCTTTTCTTGGGGAAGGAGAGTGGGTCAAGGCACAGAGTGAGTGCAAGTACATAAGCTTGGGGTCTTGTTGATTTTTGTTTGGTTTGGTTTGGTTTGTTGTTTTTTTTTAAAACACCTAGGCTAATAAGGCAGATTGTTGTCTTCCCTTTCAAAACTTAGCTCATCTACAGCCCCGTCTGCCGATGTGTCAGCCTATCTCACAAATGACTGAATCTCTCCTTTTTCAGAAGTGCTTTTTTTTTCCCCTCCCCTTAAATAAGAGGATATTTGTAGACAGGGATCTTCTGTTGCCTCTGCTCTGATTGCTGCAGAGGAAGGGTAGCATGAGTCTTCTTCAGAGAGCATTCAAAGTATTTCATTTGAATAAACGAGGGAAAATCTATGAAAGGTGTCCTCATTAAATTGAAAATTGTTTTTGTACATTCGCCCTTCCCCCGTGCTATTTCTATGTGAGTTCCAAGGCTGGCAAAACAAAGCTCAAGTTAGTTGGAGACATGGTACAGAATTCTCAAATCTGATCGCTTTCACTACTCTGTGTTACTGGTCCTGGTAAGCATTTTTTTAAGTTAGAAAAATTACAAGGCATTCATAAAAAGAGATTTTTAATCCAGAAAGCATAATTTTATAATGCAGCACCAATTAACTATACTTCTGACTTTTACCCTAATCTGTGGGCTTTTATTTGGCTCAGGTGTAATTAGAAGTTAAAATCTGTAGGGCAACAGCTGCCAAAAAAAGAAGTCTGTCTTCCACCATTTTCACTTTCATGAGACCTAGTGGTTGTGTGGTTGTAGAATGAATTGGTTCATTTGGCTGATTTGTGAGAAATTACCCTTGCTCCCCATCCTCTTGCAGATTTTGGTTGGGTTGTCCGTATACACTAACCTGACCTGTGGCAGCACGATTAGTAGTGTCCAGGCAAAGAGGCAGAACATTTTCTTCACGTTTCAGGAATCGGGCTTGTCTGTGTTTCTGAAGGAAGTAGTGTCACTGTTTCAGAAGTAGGGAAGCCAGAGCAGGTGAAGTAATTTGCCCATCCTTGTGCAAGATTAAGAGACTTTTTGGTTTTGAGGCTGCTGCCATTACCGTTATCATTATTATTATTTCCAGTGCAGGTGAGTACCTGACACATAAACAAAAAGGACTAGGGTTCAGAGTTGTTATTGTGCTCGGTTGCTGCTTGCCGTGCCTGCTTAGCACGCTTGGTAGACTCTTTTAAAGTAGTTTTGTTGCGTTTTGTGAGTATATCATACTTGCATATATAATACCCTTTTTAAGTGTTGACTTCAAATCTCTCTTTAGGAATCTAGCCTCAATTTTTTTTTTTTTTTTTTTAATTAGGGCAAGTGTCGAGATTTTGAGACTATGTTGTGGTTTGAATCATTGCTGTTTTATGGCTGTGAAGAACAGGAGCAAGTGAAAGATGACGCCGATATTTCACTATTGCCTACCATCGTAGAGAGAGTTGTTCTTCCTAAATTAACAGGTATGGTCAGAAAGAAAATGGGGGAAAAGGGGTGTGTGTGGAAGCTGATGCTTGTTTGTGCTTTCAGATTTTACTGTTTTGTAAATGATTCCCTGACTGTCTTAGTACCTGCATTTGAGTGTTTGCAAAGTGGAGTAATTCTTTAATCTTTTACAGTGATTTCTGAAAACATATGGGATCCTTTTTCTACAACACAAACATCTAGAATGGTAGCAATTGTACAGAAACTAGTAGATGGATATCCTTCAGTGGTGAATGCAGAAAACAAAAATACACAAGTAAGTTGTTTTTTCTTAAATATCTTGCATAATTAAGGAATTTGAATATATTTTTAACATACTCTTTTGGAGAACACAGCACGCTTAGTGAGAGGCAAGAAAGAGAATTTTGCAATTATTTAATGCTCTGCAGCCTAGTTACAGAGAGTCAAGTACGGTGATAAATTAGGAGGAGGAACTCAGTGAAGTCTCCCCAAAATAGATGCTGGAGATAAAAAGAGATACCAAACGTACTGAGACTTATCGGTCTGCAGTTTTGCTTTAAGGTTCAGCTCAAGTAGTCAGGCTTTTCTTTTTTAGATCTTTGTAAACTTTTCCAATGTATTGCCTTAAAATCTGATTGTTTTACTTATCTTCTATGAATTCAAGAACTGGTGTCATGAGTTCAGGTGCCATAGCTAATGCAATGTATGCATTTCCTTTAGAATAACGGGAGATGGGCCAAAGTGCATGTGTATGGGGAAGTTAGCAGAAGATTAAAAATTACAAAAGCCCTTACTTCACAGAAGCTAATTGTGTAGCCAAGCTTAACCAGAAAGTAATTCCATTGCCTTCAGTTTTTATTGAAAACGTCAAATTTTAGCTCTGTTCATTATTATAGGCTTCTCTAAACCTATTTATTTGTGTGCTTAAGTATGTGTGCCTTTTACTGTTACGGTCACAAATGTTCTTTGTTGCTTTGAAAATCAATTTCTGGGTGTTTTAACTACTAAGCAGTGCTTTGGATGCTTTTTTTTTTAAAAAAAATGTATCTGTTTCAGATGCTTTTAAAGGCATTGTTGCTAAGAATGAGGAGAACACTAGATGATGATGTTTTCATGCCCTTATACCCAAAAAAGTAAGTTTGCTTTTAACTATGGTATGAGACCTTTATTAGCAAGTTGGTGTCTTTTGTCTGTAGTCTACAGGGTTTTTTCCCAGTATGGTTCGTTGATTCGATACAGGAGATCTTTCATTATCATGCTGTGAGGATTTAGCAAAGACAAGCAGGATGGAAGGGAATATTTATATAAATGAACTGTGTGTGGGAAGGAGGAAGCCAGCAAACTCCAGACAGAGGTGGTCTTGGTTGCTTATTAAAGAAATCTCTTACTTTCCAGCATCTTAGAAAACAAGAACTCTGGTCCATATTTGTTTTTCCAACGTCAGTTTTGGTCCTCTGTTAAGGTAAGTCAGTAAATGCATCTGGTAAATCTTTGGTCTAGACAGTGTAGCAATAAAATCCTCTTCAAATCTGTGGAAAGTGGTAGATGGAAATTGCTTTAACTTTGAAAGAACTGCAAATTAGGATTCTTAGTTTTTGATAATGCACTATGCCCTCTTCAAAAGATTGCCCAGTGAAAGCACCATCATTAAACTTGTGTGTCGTGGGTTCACGTAGCATGCGCAATCCATTTTTTTAATGTCATTGTGCTTGTCAGAATAAAATATGCTACTTTTATTTCACTTATGTGAGAATGAAGGAGCGTGGTTTGTTGGTTTGGGTTTTTTATGTGTAGTGTGAGAAAATAACTTGGCCTCTTTTGGGAAGCTCACTGCTATTTGTAAAGTATAACAGCATTTGTAATCATAGTTTAATTGAAACGATAGAGTGTGAAAGAAAAAGTCTCTATGTTTGGAATGTGCAATATAGAGTCTACAAAGGCCTGTAAGAAGCTATGACTATTGTAGTTTATTTCCAGTAAAGGCTGTAAAGAAAATTGACTCCCAGCTAAAGAGGAAAGTAAAGTATGATACCCATGTTGATTGAACTGCTGATTTCCATCATCATGCAAACAGAACTCTTATCTGGAATTTTCTGTTGAAATTGCAGCAGTGAGGGATACTGTATTCTGAATAGGTTTGCAATCACTTCATTTACTTAAAATATTTGGCACTGAATCCTTTCACTTTGAAGTAAAAGTCAACTTCTTAAATGCTGTCTAGGGTAAAAAATGCACAAAGGTCATTTATTAAATTGCTGTTGTTAAAGGTGAAACAGATTGCTTATTTAGGGCTTGTGTCTCTTAAGAGTGAAGTTGCCTGCTTCTGGCAATATCTGTATCAGAGCTCGGGCAGTTTGGAAGCATGCATGCTGTTACCACTGTTTTATTTTAGGGAAGCACTAAAAATACAGCGCTCTTGCGCTAGCAAGTCAGTTATAGCATCACAGACGAGCAGAAATAGAAGCTGGGAAGGCAAGTGCTTGTTTACTGTTTCGTGATGATCTGCCTCAACAGTAAACTGCTGGCTGTGTCCGTTTGTACGAGGCTGGCAGCAGTTCCTCCACAGGCCAGTGGGGAATAACAGTTGCACAGCTGGCTCAGCCAGCACTCCCCCATGACGCTTTCTGTGTCTGTCACCGTGCCTTGGAAGTAAGGGTATGCTGACAGTGTAGCTGGGGATTTCGTTGACAAGGGGGCTGTGAATTTGCCCCCTGTGTGGCATATGCTAGGCCTCACTTGGCTTGACATTGACATCAAATTTTGAGAACAAGATGGCTTAAAACTTTATTTTTTTTTCTGATTTCTTGTGCAAAACAGGAGCAAAGTTGTGGCGGGGGGTGGTTGTATGAGAATTCATAACACTCTAAGCTGGTACTTTATGGATTCTGAATAGTTAACAGAGGGTGCATTTCCATTGCTTACCTTGGCCATGCTGTTGCATTTGAAGAGGTGCTAGAGTGTTTGAGCAACTTCCTGGTTTCAGTACGTTTTTACATACTTATTTTCCTTGTTGTTGTATTCTCAGTTACTAGGAAACTTTCTCCAGTGGTATGGAATCCTTTCAAACAAAACTCTTCAAGAACTGTCAATAGATGGGCTGCTCAATAGATACATTCTTATGGCTTTTCAAAACTCTGAGTATGGAGAGGACAGCATTAAGAAAGCTCAAAGTGTAAGTAGAATCAAAGAATGTTTAAAATCACTTGATATTTGTGAGTTAAGGAAAAATGTAGGTAAAACTTGGTTATCTATAAAATCTTGGCTTTGATAGATCAATATTGTAATGTCAGTGGAAAAAATAGATTATTTTTTTTTTAATACAAAAACTAAAGAAGCAAGCTTCTCTGACTCATACCTGTAGACAGTTTTAGGTATGGTGTAGGTTTCAGTGTTGTACTGCTTGAATTTTGGATCCTCTGCCTCCCTGCTCCCCCCCCGCCTCAGTTTCGCACAGTTGGACTTTGTCACTGCAATCTTACCTGCCGGACTTTGCAAATCATGTTAGATAGCTTTTAAAATCTTTTTACATTTTGTTTAACTTTCTTTTTCCTCTTATGTCTAGGTAATTGCTTGCTTTCCTAAACAGTGGTTCACTAATCTAAAAGGAGACAAAACTATTTCTCAGTTAGAAAACTTCTGTAGATACCTTGTTCATCTGGCTGATACAATTTATAGAAACAGCATTGGTTGCTCTGATGTAGAGAAGAGAAATGCAAGGTAACTTATTTTGAGTTAATGCAATTCTTGCGCTTTGTGTTATTTTGCTGATGCATGCAAACATGGGTGACTGTCTCCATACTGCTGCATGTCTTTTGAAACAGTTTTGAATTCAAACTTAAAAAATACTGTGGTATGGTAGATGGGGAGATTTTTAAGGTGTCTGAAAACAGCAACTGCTGGAAATCCTGAAACATTCATAGCGCATTTTGCACTGCCGCTTAGCGTCCCTGATACTGGCAAATTTTGCAGTTACTGGTTTCGGACTGTTCCACCCTGTGAGCCTGTTGCAGATTCCTGTGTAATGGCTTCTAAATTACAAATTGTGCTTTTGTATTACCATACAAAAGTTCTGGCTTTATTTACATAACGAACTTGATGAACCTGTTCTCCCCTGGATCAAAGAGTCATTTCACTTGTACCTGATAACCAGCATAATTAAAAGTTCGGATTAGATACATCAATGTTACTGCTGGCCAAGTAACCTGAAATGCTATGGGTGTGTTGTTTTAAGTGATGATAAACTTAGAAATGAAATTGTTGCATTGATGCACAGGAATAGAACAAGACTGGAAGGTTGTTCATTCCTGTGCTGTTGTATGAGGAGAGGTTTCCAGGTCAACAGTTCAGTTGTTCCAGCAAACCTGAAACTTGGAAAGACAAACCCTTGCTACCTGCATTAGTCATTCTTGATAATTGAACTTGCTTGAGCCATTGTTGAGTTACTCTTCAATTACTGAGGCTCTCCGGGGAATTAGATCCTTCTCTCTTTTTTGATCTTATGCATAGCACCGAAACAGAGATACAGACATTTCCCTTAAACTGTAGCAGAAAAATCTTGGTTAAGAGGTGAGGGGGTTTTTTCTGGTGTCAATTTTTTTTATAGATACCATGTTGGGTTATTAGACACTTTTCTGTCCTTAGAGTTGCTTTTGGCTGTGGCATATGAGTCATCTCATTTTCAGAGAACACCAAGCTTTGTGCCACACTGGGTTGTGCTCAGACAATTTTTTATCCACTCGCAGGTTATGTCTCAGAACTTTGTGCCCAAAGTATGATAGCAGTGTCACGTACCAATTTAAATTTCCCTATGATTCAAATTCAAAGTAGACTTGCTACTCTGTCCTTTTTAAAACCAAAATGGCTAGCCTAGCATGATACTGGAATTGAAGTGAAGGAGTTGAGAGAGAATCCAGTAGAGATTAAACTTGCTCTCTTTTGATAGCCTGTTTCTAAATTTGAAAGAACTTTCTTTACCAGCTGAAATAATAACTTGGTAAAACTTTGTATTGGAAGAGAAACATCCAATTCTTTGCCCCTATTAAGAAGATAAAATAAGTCTGCAGGAGAAATATTACTACTTATAACTGAAGAATGAAATATCTTTTTATATAAAACCCAGTACAGCCGTTTCAAGCCAAACTGCATTAATTTCTGTGGCGAGGAAGTATATCTTTACCTATGTCCATTGGTGCTAGTTTTCCAAACGTTGGATGCTTTTTCACAGATCCAGCTAGGTTCATTTTTAAGATTAATTTTGAATTTCTAGTGGTTTCTGTGAGACTAGTCTAAATTTCATGTCCATCCTCCTAGCAAGATACAAAAATTGTTCTTGACATCTGAAGTACAGTCCTCCTAGCAGTTTGCTCACTCTAGGCTTCCTAGATTGACCTGAATTGTAATGCATTTCATTGGCAGCTAGCTTCTTACCTTTTTAAGGAGAGCATTAAAGCATACTTGCTGCCTTGATTTTATTTTGGGGGTTTTTTTTGTCTTACCCATTAGTTACCAAGAGAGCCGTGACTCATTGCACAGTCTTATAAGCAATCCAAGACTTTTTCTTGAGATTATACTGCATCTAGTATTAAACCATATTGTATGATTAATTCCTACTCCCAAAATAAATTTTTCAATTTCAGTACAAAGCTGATAACCAACTTATTTTATCAGACTAAGCAAGTGGAGGAGGAGATGATGTGAAGTTATCAGAAATTGATTTGCTATATGGATTCATAATGTCGTCTTCTGTTGAAATATTAATACTTGTACATGATCGTTCCATTCCTGTATTGACTTCTCCTTCCTCTTTTTTTTAGGGAGCACATAAAGCAGATCATAAAGCTGCTAGCAAGTATCCGAGCGCTGGATCATGCTGTGACAGTTGCGAATGATCACAACGTAAAAGAGTTAAAGATTTTAATAGAAGGAAAATAAGACTTTTCCGACAACTCATTTTGAGCTTTAAAAACCATTCCTGATGTGTAATTTATGTACATATGTAAAGTTTCTTAAACTGTAAAGTATTGATCTTTGTTTTAATACAAAGTGCATTCTTATATACAGCATCCTTAAAAAAAATTTACTTCTTTGGAAACAAAAATGGAATCCCAAGTTTGTCATCTTTCCAGAAATCAGATTTTCCTTAAAGTTTTTCAAAGTCTTGTTTACAAAAATACTTTGTACCCATGATTAGTAGTCATCTACTCCTGTTAATTGTTCCATGGTTAACTGGAATGTGTATAATATACTATGTGTAATACAATGTATGCATATATTTATACCACCATGTTGCTTTCACACTGGATATAGAGATCTTGTACTGTTGGAATAAGCTTTTCATTTGCTAAAAAATACTTATTTTGACAATAAAATGATCATATTATTGCTCAAAAGGGCTGGCAGAACATTCAAATATGTGAAAGTCATCTGAGCTGAAGTGTGGAGACACTTCCAAATGGAACCTGACCTTTAAAAAGTAGCTGTGCTGTGCTCAAATTGGAATAGCTACAAAATTGCTTGCATTCAGAATATGGAACTCTTAAGACTGTTCTTAGAAACAAAACAGAAAGGAAAAACCAAATCAATGCTTAATTTTTTTTTTTTTTTTAATACAGGCATACACTGACAACTTGCGATTATTGTGCAAGTATAAATGACAGCACATCCTAAGCCCCCAAGTGATAGTTTACCCATGAATTCTGGACTCTTGTTCCTTGTGCAAGTTGGTTAAATTCACTGTTTTTGTCTTTTTTTCTTTTTTCTTTTTTCTTTTTTTTATTTTTTCATAACTTCATACATCGAACCTGTTTCTTCTGATTGGTATGGCTAAAGCTGTCAAGCAAAATGAAGGTGAAGAAAACTTTATATCCTATGATTTGAAGTATTCATACTGTAGTAAATATTCAAATGTTACACTTCCCACTAAATGCTAAGAATTAGTCTTGCTAAAAAGCATTTAATTCAAATATAAATTACAAAGAAAACACTTTAAAAATCTGGTGGTTTCCATCAGAACACTAGTGATTTGATCTGGGGGTCCAAGGCATGGGAACAGCTGTAGTAGCCTTGGATTAAGAGCTATTTCCAGGTGTGCCCTACTCTTTTGGGGAACTGTAGCAATAAATTGGCATACTGAATAACATAAGAAATCATTGTATTTTATGCTCATGTCATGTGGTATAAATAAGTATATTAAAAATGTACAATTTGTAACATGCACACTTCATTTGGACACTGAACAATTGTTTTTCTGAACTGTTGGGATTGATGGAGTACATTCAGAAATATCTGCTTTTAAAAATTGTTTCAATAAACTTGTCTGTCAAGGAACGTTTGCAGTGCAACTTTGTAAGCTTTATTCCTTTAGGAAGGCAGTAAAGGAAATGACAGGCTTGCTGGCTGCCTCTATTTCAGTATGTCAGAAAGAAAAAATCGTCCTCAGATTTGGAAATCATGTTTATTCACACTTTCTACTGCCTCTAGGAAGAATACTTGTAAGGGAGTCACTCTCTCGCTTTCTCCCTGGCTGTAGTTCAGGGAGGAGAAAAGCTGTAGGTTCAAGCCGTCGGCTATCATCCCAAACTTCGCTTTCATTATTAAAAACACAGGCATGTTGCTCCAATAGGACTGTAAGGAAGGGAATAAAGATAGTATCTTCCTTATAACCTCATTATAAATTATAGCTACAGAGAATCTTTTTTTTCAAGACAGCCTGTAGTCATTTTCCTAATTACTGCAGAAGACCAGCTATTCATATTACACTTAGCCTATCTTTCCTCTACTACAATGACACCATGTGGTTGTGTCTTAGCCCTTGCATGCTTGAGGAGTTTCTCCTTCCTGTCCCCACACAGTGTCACAGTTGGAGAATGATAACGTGAAGAAACTGGCAGCAAAGTATACTTATGGGTGGTAAGTAAACTTCTTGTTTCGGGCAATGTGGTGCCTTTCCTATGTATAAATGGTTAGATTTGCGTAGGCACTTAAAGATGATGCAAATAATGTTACCCAATTTTATTTACAAACAAATTAACCACTTCTACCACTTCACCTGTATCTCATTTATTGATGCAAATTAAATGCTAGTAGCAAAGCAGTCATACTTTATGTAATCATCTTTAAACAATGTTACACAACTGCTGCTTGGTTGAGGTATAATCCAAAAACAACTGCTTTAACATTATTCTCCCACAGTTTATCATGTGTTCACTATCAAAATTAACAAATAATTATAGCATGTTAAGAGACTGATGTCCTAAATGATGATGAAATCCCATGTGAGAAGGTACTAACACATTAAGTGACGTGACAATCTTATTTCTGCTCAGAACTCTACAGGGACTCTTGAGAAAGTCTAATAACCTCTTCAGTAGTTAGCGTTGTTTAGGAAAAGGAAAGATGTAGAACACATAAGAAAGAATTGCATGTAAAATTGTCAGTCATTGACATTTATGAATAGGATAATATATTACAGAATTATTACTGTTAATTACAATTATTTTATTATACAGTTATGTATGACTACAGTTATTACAGAATTACCTTTCCCCCAAAGGTCACCAATAACAAAGGGACAACCTTGTCCTTTACTATAAAGGAAAACAAAATGAAATCTGAACTGCGAAATGCAGAAGTTTGAGGGGAAAAAATGTGCAGATACAGGGAGCCACACGATTCCTCTTTCTCCTCCTTTCAGATACATCTCATTTTCTGCAAAAGTTTGCTAATCGGTGGTTCTGCTTTCAGTTCTCCCCAAGTTATTCTACAAAAAAAGGCATTTTTTTAGAAAGAACCCTAAATATATACGCTAGGGGAGGGGATATGCACCTGCAGTTTTGATGTGGAGTACGGCTTTGGTAGAATGACTCCGTGAGGTTCATTTGAACAGGCTGAACTGTCCTCTCGCGCGGTGGTGCTTAAAAGCAGTATCCCTGTCATCTTAGGTTTATTAGTTGCCCAGTGAAAATTAAATGTCCTGTGATCAGTGCTCTAAAAGGAAATAACAATACCTGTGATCTGACCATCAGACTTTACCTGTGAAGTCACAAACAAACCATTCCTGCAAGAGTTAGTAGTGGCGCGTAAGGAAAAAGAGAACTCTGAGGAGGCTTCGAGAACGGTTGTTGCAAGGAGGGAGGATGGTTGTGGGTTTTTTGAGAAACTCGCATGCAACCGCAGGATGGAACAGAGTTGAGCGGTTTTGCCCAGTGTGTGGCATAAAACAAACATAAAACTTTGTTAGCCTTACAATTGTTAGTTGAATTAGTCTGTCTGCACCATGACATAATGTAGGAATTTTTCTCCAAGAGTACTTCATTTCTGTATATAACAAAACCTCTTACCCTAAATATGCAGAAATAAATGAACAGGAATAAAATAATTGCGTGGAGACAAACTTAGTAATACAAGAGCCTGCAATTTAAGGCTCTGCTCCAAGCAACCACTTAAGCATATGGTTTTGTTCAAACATGTGAACTGTCTCATTGACTCCACTTACATTCCTTTTGTGCTTTATGCACATAGTTAAATGTTTTCATAGAGCAGAGACCTTGAGTGAAGCACAGATGTATCTCCAAGGTTTGGTGTAGTATTTTTCTTACGTGCTTAAGCCCAAACTTTCATAGCCTAGATTTCATATAAGTACCTGAGTATTGTCTATTTACTGTCTTAAGACTTTTGTGATACCTAGCTAACGGAAAACATGAAGTGGGATGTAGGTTGCGTCACTGTGGGCCTCACACACCCTGGGGACATCGAGCTTAAAATCACTGTATTGCACTTAAATTACACATTGCCATTTTACCCAAAAGCTCCAATTGGGATAAGACATTCATTGAACTAAAGGTACTGAAATTATAATGTACACACACGACTACTACCTCAAGGAGCTAGCAGTTCAGAGAGCGTGCATCTGCAAACCAGCAGTGGATAGAGCAAACAGCTTTAAAGATTTAATGGGCAGTAGGAGTTTGCAGGAGTAAGGCACTGCCATAAGTGCTAGGAAGGATACGCAAATTCAATATAATTGCAAACCTTTGATTTATTTGTTGATGTGCCAATTTAGCGATGTACAGCACCACCGATGTCCCTGAGAAAATGGTTTGAACACTTAGTGGAATGGGTAAAATAGTTGGTTGCCTCGCTGCCAGCGGTGCACGAGCCAGAGCCCGGCAGCCCTGGGCTGCTGCTGCCGCCGCCAAGGGGGGAGGGGGGGGGGGGGTGAACCTGCTGCTAGTGCTGAGGCTGAGGCTCGCCCTCTCCCCATTTTTTGCCATTGGGTTTTATTTGCACTCCTCCTCCTAATTTTGCAGCAGGATCTGCAAGCCCGGAAACCTTCCTCTTCCCCTTTCAGGCATCCCCACCCTGCCTTCCTCACCTTTTTGCTACCAAAAGCAAATGTTGCCATGGTTGCTGACGAGCCTTGAGCCAATTCTGCTTTCAGACAGCAAAGAAGTTTGAAACTGGCTCTGCTCTGACGTCCAGTGAAGTTGTGCTGGGTTGACCTTGGGCTGCAGCCAGACACCCACCCAGACGCTCTCTCACTCCCCTCCTCAACAGGGCAGGGTGAGAAAAAAGCTCATGGGTCAAGGTAAAGATGGAGAGATGACTTAACAATTGCCATCATGGGAAGAGACTTGATTTGGGGAATTAATTTAATTTATAGCCAATAGCAGATTTGGATACCGAGAAATAAAGACAATTAACACAACACCTTCCCCCTCGCCCCTTTATCCCAAGCTCAACTTCATTCCTGGCTCCTCTACCTCCTCCCTGCTCCTTGAGCTCCAGTTACAGAGCTATGTCTCAATATTTCCATATATTGAAGGTTAGTGAGATTCTGAAATTCACTTGGCAGGTGGAGAAAAATTACCAAAACCTTTTATTACACAAAATTGAAGAACAAATTAAACTTTGCTTGTAATATGCTTTGCTATATTATGCACTATATTACATTGGCAATTAGAATCAAATATTCATTCTCATTTGCCATTAACTTATAAACAGCAGTATTTTTCTGAAGTTAATAATAGCTTTATCAAAGCTCCTGCTATTGGATAGCAACACATTTTTTACAGCTTCAGCTGATGTAAACTGATACTGGTGGATGAAAAATTGGACATGAGCTGGCAATGCACACTTGCAGTCCAGAAAGCCAGTTGTATCTGGGGCCACGTAACAAGCGTGGCCAGCAGGCAGAGGGAGGTGATTCTCCCTTTCTGCTCCACTCCGTGAGACCCCGCTTGGAGTACCGTGCCCAGCTCTGGGGCCCCAGCACAAGGCAGACATGGACCTGTTGGAGCGGACCCAGAGGATGGACACAAAAATTGGGGCCTCCTACTTGGGAGGGCTGGAGCACCTCTCCTGTGAAGACAGGCTGAGAGAGAGTCAGGATTGTTCAGCCTGGAGAAGGCTCCAGTGAGACCTTAGAGCAGCCTTTCAATATACGAAGGAGGCTTGTAAGAAAGATGGAGAGAGACTTTTTACC